CACATATCCTTTTCCCCTGCTCTCTCCAATCTTTCTTATCCTCTTCACTTACAAAAGCTCTATTTCCATTTTCTTTCATCATTTTTTTCTTTTATTTCTTCAATTCCTTTCCCTTTCTTCCCTCCCCATCTCTTGTTTCTCTTCCCACTGTGGCTCAGTGGATAACACATTAGATTTCAAGTATGCATCAAAAGAGATTTTTAATTTTTCACTGAAGTTCTAATAGGAAGACACTTTATTTCCATGTAAAATTATTCTCTTCCCTAAATTTAATTTTTCCTATATTTCAATTACTGACTTTCTTCTCTACCCCTTTTCTTTCTGTGCTTTTAATTTTTCCCAAACTCACTCTATTCTTCTTTCATCTGCCTGTATTTAATTATAGTTCATATCTAAATGACTTCTAGAATTGAATTTCCACTAGTTCATTCTTCCTTTCATTTCTATGTCCATTTACCTGTTGAAAATTCAGACTCCTATGTTCTATGGTTTTACCATTTTTCCTCCCAAAGCTACCTCTTTTTACTATTTCTAGCAAAATGGTTATAATTTATCATTTTGAGCAAGAAAGACATGTGGGCATCATCCTAGTTCTTTCTGCTCTTTATTAATTAGATGCAATAAATTGAAATTTTTTCTCAATTCTCTTTCCTCAGCATCTCCTTAATGTGTCAATTTATTTCCACAATCACTCTTCATACAGTACCCTGGACCTAGCATGTCCTCTGGAGTGAGCCATACTTCATTCTGCAAAGGAGTATTCTTATAAAACTGGACTTTGCTTTATCCAATCGTACACCATTCATTTATTAATAAAATCCCAAAGATGTTGTTTTTAAACAAATTATATTTATTAAGTAAGCATATACACACATAGACAATTTTCAGGTCATTCAGATTTTAGAGTTGAGCTAGTGGCCAGAAGAATGCAAAACTTGTTGTAAATAATGTGACTTTTATGACATCATTTAGAGCTCCAAATAGACAGGTACATTGTGGCCCTCAGTAACGTCATATCTATCCGCATTATGCTCTACCATCCTTAGTTACACAAATTCTTGCATAATTTGTGTAACATTTCCATAAAAAATGTTACAGTCTATAATTGTGATTTTTGGTGACCTTTGTGTGTCACTTCAAGACATTTTAAATACCAGTTAGTCGCTGGGATCATGTCAGCACTTTGCTGACTGGGTTCTCTTTCTCCAGAGCTGTCTTAAGGGACTCTTCAGAAGAAGCATTTTAAAGGCTAATTATTTTTTAGGCATCATGAGATCCTAAACAAAAATAATGATTTTGTTTTTCCCAACCTTTAATTTGTGTTGTTTTGTTTTATTTTGTTTTGAGATGGGCTCTTGTTATCTCTAGTCTCTGGCTGGTCTTGAACTCACTGTGTAGCACAGGCTGGCCTGGAATTCTTTGGAATCCTCCTGCTTCAGGCTTTCAAGTGCTGGGATTATAGGTGTGCACAACTCTGCTCAGCTTCAAACTTGTGTCTTTTAGAATAAAGCCTAAGCTCTGTAACGTAGTCTCCTAGAACATCCATGATTTAGGCAAGACTTACTTTTGAAGTGTGATTTTCTTATTTCAGTGGCAATAATAGAATCTCTCATCTCTGTTTATTTTAGGTATTTTGTCCTTTAGTTTTTTTATGTACTCCTTAAAATGTACCTTAAGCATTATTTAATTCTTCAACACTCTTTAAATGGAAAGTTCTATCTGTCTGCTCTACTCCACTAAATTGTGAAAAGGTGTCAGAGACACTTTTGTTCTTATTCACCATGGCTCCTTCAAAACCTCAGACTGCTTGACATGTCCTGGACACCAAGGAAATATCTACTCACTACATACCTTTGAGATATTAATTAGATATCAATTTTGTTTGAATATGTTTATTTTTATATAAATTTTTATTCAAGGTTTGTAAAAATTAAAGAAAAGCAGGTATATATTCACATAAAATTTTTAAAATTACATAATTTTTAACTAAATAAAGCTATATTTCTATAAGAAAGTGGAAAAATTATATATCTATGACACTGAATATTTGTATAATATAATTTGTAAAATGTCCTTTGGGAAACAGTACATCTCTGTGTTTTTGTACAGGACCAAAATGACCAGATCATGACCACGAATTTCTCCAAAATTTTCCCCTAATATTGTGTTTAAAACAGAGGGGGGGGGCACTAGATATTTTGCTGGCTCTGAATCTGTTGGTTTATTAATTCATACCTTGACTTTTTGGAGATTTTTAAGTCTTTTCGAATCTTATAGATTTATTTTGATGAACCAGTTCTACTTTTGTTTCACTGTTTTCAGTAGAGCGGCATAAAATTGATATTTATTCATGTTTATTGACAGAAATTCCTTAACTGTGAAAGACTATTTTCTTTCTGAATGTAACGTTAGATAAAATATCAAGAACAACTAAACAGAGGAATTCAAACTTCTTTAACCTATTTATAACAATTTCTACTTTTTCTCTAACATTTTTGTATTGAAGAATTCTCAATACATGATTGCATTTCATGAAATTGTTTATAAAGCACAGGTAAGACTCAGATACCTCAGGAAACACATACCAGCCATAGTATTAGATTCCATTCTAATTCTGATCCAAGCAGTTTACTAATTAAAACTCAATATAAATATTTGTGAAATAAGAACATTAGTAAAATTATTCCCAGGGATCATGGTGAAGGTTATCTAAGATAATGTACACAATGTTGTATATTTCACAGACATGTTCCTATTAAAGGACAGGCATTTTTAGATGCTCTAGGCTGAAAAATAGAATTCAAAGAACAGTATATACAAAGTTGAACATATTGTGTTAGAAAGAAATTTTACAAAATTGTAGCAAGAGAGCAAAGAGATAATAAAAATAAAGGCACCCAAATTTTCCATAATTTAAAATTATTATTGTCTCCCAATATTTCAAAATGTAAATTTTTCATATGTCATATATTCTAAATATATCTTCCTCTCTTCTTATGAATTCAAAAGGGCATCTGTGGGCTCGGGTAATTAGATATAAGGGAATAGTTCAGAAATGCAGTGAATGCAATGAATAAATAATTTATCTAGAATTTAATCTGAAGATGAATACAAAGTCCTTTCCATGTTTTACATTGAAAGGAGAAATACATATTTCCATTCAAAACAATGAGTGTAGTGATATTGTTCAGTGTTGGGAGATTTGTGTTTTTATGAAAGATGTGCACATTCAAAGTTACTTAAGTAGAACTATAAGTACCCCACATGGACTGATGGTATTATGTCAGTGCCTTCCTATTTTTTTAAACAAATACAACCCAGTGATGCGGGTGGAAATTCAGCTTATAAAACAAATGGAAGTGCAGGCATACTTGTTGAAAAAGTGGCAGAATTTTGAAATTCTGCTCAGTTTACTTAGACTGTGTATAGGATACATTCCACCATGTATTGGGTAGTTTGGTGAAAGGATTTCAAAATACATCCAAAGTCAAAATCTATCTAATCTTCCTAAGCTTTCAAACACAAGGCAGAGATTTTCAACACTCAGTCAATTGCTTGTGTTTAATACAGAAACTTAGGTGCTAATTACTTCTTATCTAAAAATCAAGAGTGTCTACAAGAGTGTATATAACAACACAAACATAAATTTCACAAATTATTATCAATCTTATTTCAGTAAAGGGATTGCTAATAATACTCAGAAAACTACCCTATGAACATTTTAACAAGGGAATATCTTCATGAACAAAATACCTAATAGACACTTTCCCATGTGTAGCACAGTCTTTTTTAAACTAGGACATATGATCTTAAGGTGAATCCTGAAAGTTAAGCATTAATACCTCTGTTTCAAGCTTTGACAACTTGGCAAGCCAGGATTCAGAGCACTGAATTCTAAGCCCTTTTCCTCACCCAACCTGTAGAAAATTAGATGATCTTCTAAAATAGAAACTTTACCTGATATGACACAGCATTCAAATTTATTACTTTATGTGTGAATTAAATGAAAATGTTTTTTATTGTATTAAAGTAATTATCAAGAAATATAAGAATCAATGTAGTATTTCTCTACCATTATTTACATGTAGGGATTGCATTCATTTCATAATATTCCTCATGTTTGTGGAGATATATTTTCTCTTTGGAGTAAAATTTTATAAATTTGGATCTGTCATCTTGCAATTGAGGATGACTTTGTTTGACACGTTGTTAAAAGCACTTTATTCTAAAAAATCCAAAATAATAACTTTTATAATCAATTTACTTTAATTTCTGGAATTAATCACAATCTCACTGTGTGATCTTGACAACTATATCTTTTTTGGCAATAATGAGCAACTTGACTGATATATTCATGTCTTGAAATAAAAGACTTGAGAACTGATTTGTTCATATAACTATTAATTCACTATTTTATGATCTGAGATACAGATTATAACTTATTTGGTGAAGAATTTTCTTATAATCTTTATGAGTCCAAGGTATATACATTGCCCTTATGCTTTAAAAGCATTATTGCTTCAAATCAATTTAAAAACTCATTACATTAGCAATTTTTTTATTGAATCCAGTAACTCTGTTAAAGTTTTTCTCTTGGTATAAACATGAAATACATAACTTTAACCAATCATAATGACTGGCATGAAGATTAGAAAGCAAGAATAATAAAGAAGGAAGAGAGAAATGTCAGATTGTGGTTAGGAGGAAATTTTGAAATATAAAAATAATGCTTTGAGAACTTCTTTCCAACAAACTTAGCTTATGGAATCTACCTGAACCATCTATAAGAATTCATTATTATGTGATATTATAACCCTTTTTTGAAAGAGAAAAGTACACATAATTTTAACCTGAAAAATATTTTAACATTCTCCATTAATTTGGCACTTGCATCCTGAATATCTTTTGGGATTTTGTTAACTGTAATAAAGGCTAAAAATAATAAATGATCATGATTGTGAAACCATACAGCACAAAAACCATATTCCATCTTTTTCTAGATAATCCAGACCATCAGTGCAGTAGACAGAGATGAATCAGTAGAAGATCACCATTTTTACTTTAACTTATCTGTGGAAGACACAAGCAACTCAAGTTTTATAATCATAGATAACCAAGGTAATACCATTGCCTCAACAAATTTTTGACCCATTCTCCATAAATCATGTTTGATTTTAATGGGATTTATGTCACTGATTTTGTATTGTTCATCCAACATGTTAATATTGAGAAATACATAAAGATAGAAACAAAACCCAAAGTGAAATTCTGAAAATACAGGCTTCATTTCTTACTCCATTACTTCAAATCAGAGTCACTTTTTAACATCATCTACTTTCTAAGTCATTTTACTGTCTACATGGTCCTGAAAACATTCTTATATTTCTGACGTTGTGGTTTCTTCCACATCCTCACCTATCTTTATCTCCAACCTGTGTCTGAGGAGAAAGTGATATATATTTAACTTACCGTGGTGTTAGCATGATTGATTCACAGATATTTGGAGTCATTAATTGGAAGCTAAAAATACATGAAATTGAGTTAAGTTTATTCTTTTTATGAAAAGTTATTTGTTGTCAAATGAAGGGTAAATTATTCTGAAAGGTTCTGTGTGGGGAAACAGGTTTTAAACTCCCTCTTAGTAGAAGGAGTTTAACTACATGCAGCCATTATATTACTTTTGGTTATAATATGTATTTGCATTTTAACTTTTCCTTATATGTCAAATACAAGATTTACCTAGGCATTTGAAATCTAATATTTTCAACAGTCTTTTTTTACAACTAAGTTTAGCCTCAGATCCAGAGGAAATTTTGGTGGAGTATATATGAAGAAATTTTTCTCCGTTGGATATTTTTTTTCAAATTTCCCAGGGAAGGTAGCTCAGACATACTTATGAAAAAAACACATATATCAATATATAAAAGCTACGTTAGGTTTCTTTACATTAAGATAAGTTACTGATGCAAGATAAATATACTGAAACAAAAAAATATGGTTGCCTAGGATTTTTGTTTACAAGTAATTTAATAACACATATATTGAAAAATGGGAACCATTTCTTGCCACTTAAATCTGACTACTAAATAAGTTTATATGGGTTTAGAGACATTAACTGCTGCATATTTTTAGCTTTAAAATGACGATTTAGTAAATGTTATAAATACACATAAATTTCAAAAAACTTCTCTGTATTTGCATTTTATTGTTAGCATCCTCTGAAATTGGTTTGGCATCTACAGAACATATCTGTAAGCATGTAAAAGTCACTCCAAATCAAAAATTAACCAAAGCACCAGATAGTAACCTATAGGGAAAACATAGTTCAAAGACAAACGAAACTAAACTGAAAAATGTCATTTAGAGAATTTGGGGCTCTAAGGAAGAACAGTATCATATATATTGATGTATATGCTACATTTTTCAGTAGTATTTTGAATGATATATCTAGACAAATAAATTAGTGTGGTTGTGTTTAAGGACACTTTGAATTTTAAATAGAAAATCAATTACTAAATTCAAAGTAAAAAGAAATAGTCTTGTAGTACATACGCTTCCAAATACTATTACTTATATTTTTTTAATAAGAAGACACATTGTTTAAAATCTCCACTCAACAGGAACCCAGAAAAAAGCAGAGGTAACAATCTTATTTGCAGACAAAGTAGATTTCAAACCAAAACTAATTAAGAGAGACAAAGACAGTCATTACATCCTTGTGAAGGGAACAATCCAAGAGGAAGAGATGACAATCCTAAATATATATGCACCAAATACGAATGCCCCCAACTACAAAAAACAAACATTAATGGAGATGAAAAATCAAATAAATACTAATACAATTGTAGTGGGAGACTTTAATACCCACTATCACAAATAGACAGATCATCTAGGCAAAAAATTAACAATAAAATTCTAGACCTGAACCAAGCTATTGGACTTAATAGATGTTTACAGAGTGTTCCACACCACAAAATCAGAATACACATTCTTTTCGGCTGCACATGGGTTATTCTCCAAAATAGACCACATGCTAGTTCATAGGACATGTCTAAGTAAATGTAAAAGAATTCAAGTTACTCCTTCTATATTATCAGACCATAGTGCCATAAAATTGGAGATCAATGACATAAGAAACTGCAAAAGTCACACAAACACATGGAAATTAAACAACACTCTCCTGAACAACCAATGGGTCACAGAGGAAATTAAAGAAGAAAGACAGTTTCCACAAGTAAATGATAATGCCAGTACAACATACAGAAATCTATGGGACACAATGAAAGCAGTTCTACATGGGAAATTCAAAGCAGTTGATGCCCATATAAGGAAAACAGAGAGAACTCAGATAAATAACCTATGCAGAACCTCAAGCTCCTAGAAAAAGAAGAGCATAACAAACCCAAATCTCATACAAGAGAGGAAATTATAAAGATCAGAGGAGAAATCAATTCAATGGAGATTAAGAGAATGATACAGAAAATCAGTGAATCAAAGAGTTGGTTTTTTGCAAGAACAAATAAAATCGATAAACCCTTAGTCAACCTTATCCAAAAACAGAAAGAAAAGGCTCAAATCTATGCAATTAAGAATGAAAAAGGGGAAATCACAACAGGCCCAGCAGAAATCCAGAGCATCATCAATACCCACTTTGAGAACCTGGACTCTAACAAAATGAAAAACACAGAAGAAATAGACAGACTCCTACATACATAAGAATTGTCAAAGTTGAATGAAGAAGATATAGAAATTCTAAATGCCCCAATTACAATGAGTGAAATTAAAAATGTAATAAAAAATTTACCAACAAAGAAAAGCCTAGGTCCTAATGGCCTCACTGCTGAATTCTATAAGACATTTAAAGAACTAACACCATTACTCTTTACACTCATCAAGGAAATTGAAAGGGAAGCAAGGCTTCCAAATTCATTCTTGGAAGCAAGTGTTACTTTGATTCCAAAAACTGGGGAATGACACAACCAAAAAGAGAACTACAGGCCAATCTCCCTGATGAACATAGATCCAAAAATCCTCAACAAGATACTGGCAAACAGAGTACAGAGTGTCATCAAGAAGATCATACACCCTGACCAAGTTGGATTTATCCCAGGGATGCAAGGATGGTTCAACATTGGTAAATCAGTAAATGTAGTACACTATATTAACAGAGGCAAGGACAAAAAACATACGATCATCTCAATAGATGCAGAAAAGTCATTCGACAAAATCCAACACCCATTCATGATAAAAACTCTACAGAAAATGGGAATAGAAAGTCTTCATCTCAACCTTATTAAGGCTATCTATGCAAAGCCAACAGCCAACATCATACTAAATGGTCAAAAACTGAAAACTTTCATGCTAAAATCAGGAACAAGACAAGGATACTACTATCACCACTCCTGTTCAATATAGTTCTGGAAATATTAGCCACACCAATTGGAAAAGGGAAAGAAATAAAAGAAGCAAAGTTTGGAAAAGAAGAAGTTAAACTGTCATTATTTGCTTATGATATGATACTTCACATAGGAGACCCAAAAAACTCAGCCAAAAGACTTCTAGGCCTAATTGACAGATTCTGAAGAGCAGCTGGATATAAGGTCAACACTAAAAACAACAGCCTTCTTATAAACAAATAGCAGACTTACTGAGAGAAATTATGGAAACAATTCCTTTTATAATAGCATCCAAAAAAATGAAATATCTAAGAATCAACCTAACAAAGGAAGCAAAAGACCTCTACACTGAAAACTACAGCACTCTGAAAAAGGAGATTGATGAGGATATAAGAAAATTGAAAGACATCCCTTATTCCTGTGTAGGAAGAACCAATATAGTGAAAATGGCCATACTTCCCAAACTACAATATAGATTTAATGGAATGCTCATTTAAATTCCAACAATATACTGCACAGAACTAGAGAAAACAATCCAAAGTTCATTTGGAACCAGAAGAGATCTAGAAAAGCAAAAGAAATTGTAGGCATCAGAGACATGGTTGTGGGTATCACAATCTGAAACTTGAAGCTATACTACAAAGCTACTGTGATAAAAACACCATGGTACTGGCAAAGAAACAGACCTGAGGATCAGTGGAATAGATTAGAAGATGCAGAAACAACTTAAGACACACTCAGCAACCTCATCTTTGACAAAGGAGCCAACCACCCTCACTGAAGGAAAGATAGCCTATTTAATAAATGGTGTTGGAAAAACTGGATTTCAACCTGACAAAGACTAAAACTAGACTCACCCCTATCACTAAGCACTAAACCAAGATCAAAGTGAATTAAAGATCTAAATATTAAGACAGAAATACTAAACTTGCTGGAAGATAAGTTAGGTAGAACACTTGAAGACATTGGGATAGGAAAAGATTTTATGAACAAAACCTCAGTAGCACAGGAACTAGCACAAAGAATCAACAAGTGGAATCTCATCTTATTAAAAAGCTTCTGCACTGTAAGAGAAGCCACCAACAGAGCTAAGAGACAACTTACAAAATGGGAACAAATTTTAGCAGCTGTACCTCAGACAAAGGTCTACTATCTAGAATATATTAATAATTGAATAAACTCAGGGCCCCCAAATTCAAAGACCCAATTCAAAAATGGGCATCCAAAATGAACAGACACTTCTCAGACAAAGAAGTAAAAATAGCAAATAAATATATGAAAAAATGTTCAACATCGCTGGTCATTCGAGAGGTGCAGATGAAATCAACACTGAGATTCCACTTCACCCCAGAAATAGGGGCTGCTATAAAAAAATTAACCAATAACAAATGCTAGCGGGAATGTGGGGAGAAAGGAATCATTTTCCATTGTTGGTGGGAGTGCAGACTGGTGCAACCACTGTGGAAATATATATGGAGATACCTCAAAGAACCAGGGCTAGAGGCCTCATTTGACCCAGCTATTACCCTGCTGAGTATCTTCCCAAAAGAATTAAAAGAATCATACCACAGTGATACATGTGCACCCATGTTTATAGTGGCACAGTTTGTAATAACTAAAGCTTGTAAACAACCCACGTGCCCATCAACTGGAAACTGGATAAAGATGTGGTTTTTTTTATAACATGGAGTACTACTCAGCCATAAAGAATGAGAAACTAGAGACATTTATAGCTCAATGGATACATATTGAGGCCACACTCTTAAGTGAAATAAATGGGACACACAAATAGTTTCTCTAGTGTGAGAAACTGAAAGTGTAAATAATGATTAAAATGAATAATTGATAATTTGAAAAGGGAAAAGGTCCAAAGGTGTAGGGATGGTAGGAGGGCAAGGGGAAAGGAAAGAGGGTAAAGGAAAAATTATGAGAAAAGAAAAAAATGGAAACCAAATCTATGTAAATAGGGAAGGGTGGAGGGCGTGAAGGGTGCACAGGTAATGGGGAAAAATATAAGAACCAAGATACATCATGTACAGGTACAGGCACCCAGTGATAAATGTAAATGTATTGTATAGCTAACATATACCAATAAAATAATTAAAAAGAAAAAGAAAACACATTGTAATCTCAACTACTGAAGGCTGAGACAGCAGGATCACAAGTGTGAGGACAGTCTTGCAAATTTTGAAAGACCTTCTTTCAAAAAAATTAATGAAACTGGGCTGAAGATGTAGCTTAGTGCTATTTTGATTCAATCATCAGTACCAGAAAAAAAATAAACAGAAAATATTAAACAAAACAAATTATATAGCATCACATGTTGTAATAGATAACAGGAAATCCTGTGAATTTCCAGTATTTGTGAAAATAAAAGGTTCTGAGTAGTTGAGATAGTAGTGTCCGGTACAATTAACCTACTGAACCTGACACCATTAGTATAAATTAAATGCTAGTAGCTTGATTACTTTTAACCTCAAGCATCATTTCTTAAATTTTGGAACTGATTTGAATAATTTATCTAATTAAATAATTCAAATTTGAGGTGGAAGTTTCAGTTGTCTATTGAACAGAGTTTCTTTTTAAAAACTTATTTGAACACATCTTTATGCTGTTGCCTCTATTGCTTATGATATTTTAATTCCTTTCATATGGTTGAAAAAATTATGTGTGTCAATTTTTGTTTTAGATAACACAGCTATAGTTTTGACAAATAGAACTGGTTTTAGCCTTCAAGAAGAGCCTGTCTTCTATATAACTATCTTAATTGTTGACAATGGAATTCCACCACTTACAAGCACAAACACCCTAACAATAAATGTTTGTGACTGTGATGACAGTGGGAATGCTCAGACCTGTAGTAATAAGGAATTAATCCTTTCCATGGGATTTGGGATAGAAATCATTACTGCGATTCTGATCTGCATTATGCTAATATTTGGTAAGTACTGCTGAACTGCACATATATTTATTTATTTAAAGTAACTCGGTGAATATAGACCTTATTATGTATATACCTAATAGCAGTATTGTGTGTATGTATTTAATTGCTTTTGTAAATGTGTTATAATTGTTAAACTAAATAGATGAAATGAAAAATAGAGTAGATAAATATACATTTGAAACCATATATCAAAAGATCCTTGAGTTGTAAGAGTATGTGTATATATACGTATTTGTGAACATTTTTGAAATATATTAATTGTAACAAACACATTTTACACAAAATAATAGTAATGACGATGAGCATCTGTTGAGTGCTCATTCCACAAGATAGTCTTTGGTGCTTTGGGTATATAATGCAGTTTGACCCTCACAATAATCTTATGAAGTAGCAATGGCCGTTGCCTATATTCCACACATATAACAACTGGAACTCAAAGAGTTGCATGTTTTATCAGTGGTTATGGATGTAATAAGTAATAACCTGAGATTCCATAACCAGAATGAAACGCTATCCAGCATTATACCAGAACTGGCTAGAGTACATACGGCAGAATGTCAAAAAAATGGGGCACTACTCTTTTACTACTTTTCAGTTACCCAATATATTATTGCTAACTATAACTGTCACATTGTAAAACAAATCTCTTGAATTTATTCCTAATGTCTAACTGAAGTGTTGTGTTTGTTGGGGGGTGGGCAGTACCGGAGATCGAACTCCGGTCCTTGAACTTGCGCAGCAGGCGGCGAAACCACTGAGCTAAATCCCTGGCCCAGAAGTGTTGTATATTTTTGTTGAGCAATATCTCCTTATTCTCCAGCACCAGATACTGGTGAAAACTTTTACCCCCTGTCGTTATGAATCTGACAGTTTTACATTCTATATATAAGCAGGTTCATACAGAATTTGTCTTTCTATGCAAGTCACATACCACTTAGAAATATGCTCTTTAGGCTTATTCATATTATTTTATAATATAAATTTCTTATCTTTTAAATTGAAGTCTACTGTGTATATATACCATGTCTTCTTTGCCATTCATTCATTGGTGAACAGTTAGGTTGATTCTGTACCTTGACTATTCCATATCTTGGCTATTCCATACCTTATTCATTTCTTTGACATACTTATTTCATTTGTAAGCATTTGAGGTGATGGAAACAAAAATTGACTTGATGTAATCATCTCATAATGAATCCACTTATCAAAGCATGATATTGTAAATAACAAGTTTATACAATATTAGTCACTTTTTAAAAATATTTTTGTGAAAAAAGACAGTAAATAATATTGAGGAGTGTGGAAGTGTTCATCTTATTTAATGAAAGCAGTCAATAAAAATCTCAGTTAATATTTCCATTTTTTATTATTTTATTCTAATAAGTAGAAAAGTTATACCCCTTTTACAGTTGAGGAAGCTGAACATTAATTTGACTTCATCGGGGTTTGAAAGCTACAAATTAATCATGTAGCATTTACTTTTCCTTTGCTGCAAACACCAGGATAGACAGTCTAAACATTACTTTTATTTCCTTTGTAAATTCACACCGAAAGCCAAGCCAAGTTCATTGAATGTTGAAAGTACTTGCATCAGCCCCTGCTTCTGGGATACGAACAGACCTCTCAAACTTGCTATTCCTTCACCCTCTGTCAAAAGACTCAAAAAACAATCAAACATATTTTGCTATGGAAAATTATCATTTTCTTGTGCCCTGCATCAGGTTTTCAAACTATTTCTAATGATCTGAATGGAATTCAGAGCTATACCTCTAGATACCAGAAGCCTAAAGCAGTAATATCAGCATAATGACAGCAGGTTCTTAGCTAACCACAGGGATAGGCCTCAACTCATCTCAGAATTCTACCAAGAAACCACAGACAGTTTCATAGTTGAAAGCACTAGAAATGTATTGGGTGGTAGGAAGTATAAGTCATTTAATAGTAACAGACTTTGAAAATTTCGTGACTATTCTCTCCAATTTGAATTGGAAAGTTATTTATTTTACCTCTTTCTTTTTCAATCATATATTTCTGAGGAGTTTTAAACGACAGTACCTGAATTTAAATGTGAAGATCTTATTTATACCAAGAGCAATATTTTAAGTTTTTAAATCTAAGGCATTTTAAAATTTTTATTTATGTTTACATTTTATTTTATTTTTAATTGACAAATTATTGTAGATATTTTGGAGATACAGTGTAATATTCTGATACAGTACATGCATGCATTGTGGAATGATCATATCTTAGTATTCCGTTATCCATCACTTTATTATTTCTTATGTTAGGACACTTATCATTGTTTTATCTACTTTAAAATATACATTAGTGTTAATTATAATTCATTGCTGTACAATAGAATACCAAAACTTATTCTTCCTCTCTAACATTGCACCCATAGACTAACATCTTCTCTTTGGCCTCTGTCTTCATTGCCTCTTGTGGAAGAATTTTGCATCTATATTCATCAGTAAGATTGGCCTCTATTTTTCTTTTCCAGAGGTAATTTTTCTGTTTTTTTGTGTCAGGGTGATGCTGTCTTCAGAGACAATCTAGAATTATTCCTTCTTTTTTAATTTTTTTGAGATTTGAGAAATACTAGTATTAGTTGTTCTTCTTTAATAGTCTGGTAGAATTCAGCTGTAAAGCTTTCAGGTCCTAGAATTTTCTGTGACAGAAGATTTTTATTTCTGATTCATTACCCTTACTAGCTATTAGCCTGCTCCAATTGTCAATTTCTCTTTGGCACACTGTTGTTAGATTATATGTTTTAACAATTTATCCAAGTTTTCTTGGTTCTCCACTTTGTCACATAATTGTTCACAGTGATCTCTTGTGACCATTGATCTTATTCTTCAGTCATAATGCCCCCCCCTTTTATTTCCAATTTATTGACTCAAGTCTTCTCTCCTTTTGTGGGTATATAAAATATTACCCAATATATTCCTATTCATGATGATTTTAACAACATTACTTTATTTTATTTTTATTTCAAATCCAAAGGTCAAGTAAGGGCTGGTTATCCTCAACATAAACACACAAACAAAGAAAACACTGACAAATACATACAGATGTTTGGATACATACAATAAATATTTTTAAATTAAAAAGTGTCCTGAAATTTTTCTAATGACATATAAAACATCCTATTCTTCACTTTTCTCATCTCCAATAGGGTATCATAAAGTGAGTTTATAAAGAGAGCTTAAATGATAAATAAATACAGCACTTTTAGAACAATGCTTGACATATATTTTGGATTCAGTAAACATGAACTTAGACAAATAATTTGTCACAGATTTTACCTCAATGAAGAATATCAAACTGTACCACTCTGAACTTCTGTTAATATGGATCATTGGTCCCTGTGATTGCACAGAGTGTTCAGATTAGAAAATGTTCTGTTACTGCATTTTGTTCTACTTGAATATTTGAGAAAAAATTAAATTTGAAATTTATGTTGAGCATCATCAGAAGCAATTCACTATTTTTATGGTGTCTTTCTCTTTAAATTATCAGCCGGAAAGATGATTATACTTCCTTATGCCATTTTTGCACATTCTGGTTCTAAAATATTCACTAACAAATACATATTTTTGTCTTATAATCATCAAATTAAGCCCTGTCTTGATCTTGTACAACAGCAGTATTTTAAAGTGTGTTATATTTTTACATTTTAATTCATATTCTGGTATATCTTCTTCATCAGGATTTATATTTTTCATGTTGGCTCTAAAACAACGAAGAAAACAGACTCTATTTCCTGAGAAAAGTGAAGAATTCAGAGCCAATATATTCAGATATGATGACGAGGGGGGTGGAGAAGAAGATACAGAAGCCTTCGATATGGTAGAGCTGAGACACAGCGCCACTAAGCGGGAGCAGAAGGCTCGGAAAACAACCAGGTTTGAGATCCAGAGTCTGCACCGGCAGTCTTTGCAGGTTGGCCCAGATAGTGCTGTGTTCAGGAAATTCATTCTTGAAAAGCTGGAGGAAGCCAACACTGATCCATGTGCCCCTCCCTTTGACTCACTTCAGACCTATGCCTTCGAGGGAACCGGGTCATTAGCTGGTTCGCTGAGCTCCTTAGGATCAGAAGTCACTGAACAGGATGAAAATTTTGATTATCTCAATGACCTGGGACCTCGCTTTAAAAGATTAGCATACATATTTGGTTCTTCAGTGCAGTCAAACAAATAAGGTTTCAGAGCACCAAGATTCAAAAAGCGCTAATTGTTAATGTGTGGTTGGGCAAATAGGAGTCTTGATCTACAAAGTTGTGTGCTTTGGCTTTCTAGGGGTGGGGGGTCTCCTGCTTTACAGTTTTCTGATATCCTTGGAACAAATACCCTAAGATTATTTCAAGGTACCCACATATTGTCTTTGAACAAAAAGTGTTGGAAGATATGTTAAAAATAAGATTTTAGATGCCAGTGCAAACCAGTTCAAGTATGACTGAAATATTCCCCTGAAAGTTTTCAATATTATCTAATAAAAATTCTTAACATTTTTGAAGGGCTGATGTGAGAAAGGCTCTAAATTAGACCATCTTAATATTATCTACTTTATCCATATTTTTATTCTTACAAAGTAAGAATAAGGTGTTTATGTAGGTTAAATTACTGATACTATGCAGAGAAAACTTTAGCACCTAGAAGAATCTGGGTGCTTATCCAAAGGTGTGAAAACAATGACAATATGAATAAGCAGGTTGCTGAATGAGAGTCTGTGAATCATGTTTGTTTGATATTTTCAAATCTTTGCCAAGATCACTGTTTAAAACTTATTTCAAATTTGTGCAGATAATTGGTATATATGAATTAATGAGAGTTATATACTCTAAATTTGTATTGTTTTTATTATTACACCTTTGTATAAAAGAGAAGAAAATATGCTCAAGAGTTTTTCATAGATTTTGTACATATAACCCAAAATACACTTTTTTCATGTCAATATACAATGACAAGCTGCATGTCAGCATTTAAGCATTATTAAATTAAATTTTATAAAATTGGTAAAAAGTGTGAAAATATCTAAGTAAGTTTGTATTTCTTGCAAAATTATATAGGTAAATGAAAGTACTATTGGATTCAAACTTGAATTACCATAATTATCAACTGCAATGACTCAATTTTCATATAATGCAATTCTCTGCATTTCTTTCTCTATAAAGAATGTAGGCTAAAACTCATGATGCATCAGTACTATTTGATTTTTAGTACCAAGTATGAAATTAGGTATATTAGTTACTTTCATTGTAGTATTGTGAAGGAAGTAAATACTTAGTGATTGGACATAAGCTTTAGGGTAACATAGGATATAAGATAATAAAATTCTTTAATTTTAATTGATATTTTAAGAATGGTTCTTACTATGTCTAGATTAAATGGACTTCAAAAGAAAGAGTTGAACAGAAAATAAAGCAATGAAAACAATGTTCTTCAAATAGGTTCCATGACTATTTTTTATTAATGGCATGTGAGATTGAGCTGAATCAAACTGATCATAGATATTTCAATCAAATATTTCAAGTAATGTTGAGCTATGGTTCAGCAGTTGAATGGTTATAATGATTTTTTTCTGTACTTTCAAACTTAAATGTCCATATTATATAATAAAGTTTTCCATCAATATGAACTGGGAATGATTATGTTGGTAAGACAGGTCTGTTCGCTTATAAAATTGGAGAAAATCAGATCTAAAATGCAACAATTTAGGAAGACATAAAAGATAAGATATCAACTGTAGTAAATTCTTATGCATTAATATCACTGTGCACTTAGGGAAAGGTTAAAATACTGAACAAAATGTCTTAAAAAGTAAAAACTTGTAAGTAATATAGAAAAGATTGAGGTTGAGGAAAAGTTTATATTTCTATCAAATTGTTTTAAAAATACAGAGCATAGTTGGAGAAATTATCATGAATTACTCCATGAAAGGTTGCTCACTGTATTTAAAAAAGAATGCTGTGTAAGTCTCATTTAACAATAGAAAAATATGAAAGTACAACTAACAGCATGTGAATCAATCCATGTAAAATAGAGTAGAAAAAGGAAATAAGAGTTCTGGGGATCATTCATGTTTTGTCATGAATTAAATCTTGAACAGACGATAAACTATTGGTGAAACAGTAAAGTATCTGCAGCTAGAGGTTTAATGTTTGTGATCAGAGGCATGGAGTACTTGTGTTAAAATATATGCTGATTTATTCAGTGCTAGGATTGTCAGTCATTCATTACACCAGAAAAACAGTGTACATTTGCTAGTCTAAAAAGTAAGACCCCTTTAAGCATACCCAAAATATTTTCTCATTTTAGGAGAGAGGTTGTAACTTCCTGGATAACTATGCTTGGCTGTATTTCCACACCTTTATCTTTTTTTTTTTTTTGGTAGTTATAAGGGTGTTGTGAAACATAGCCATTTCCTAAGCTAAATGTATTACTTTATGTTTGTAAATTGAATAAAATCTAATTGAATGTAGATACTTACGAAAATGGCACAACTGCACAATAATACCTGTGATACTTAAATATCACCCTCACCTGACTCACAGTGTTATAAACTATTAAATTATTAATGATCAAAATAAAATACTTAAATGTTTTTCAGCAATCAGAAATATTAGCAATAATAATAACTTGCTAAGTGCAAATACTTGAGCCTCTCATGTGACTTTAAATTGTTCCTTTTTATTTGAGTATCTATGTCAACTTTGTCAAAACTACCTAATTTTTCTGGATATCAGGTATAATCTATAAAACAAGGTGCAATCCACTCATTTCATATAACTGTAATGGAGAATATACAATAAAATAGGTAAAATAAGCAGCATATGTAATAATTGACAAAATGTAGACAATAAATAGCAGTGCATCATTATAACCACTGATGTGATTTGACTAGAATGTGGTCCCTTCTTTACAAGTACTATCTGATTCCAGTGGCTTCACAGCACATTTGAAATATAAATCAACTCCTGATCTGACTCATACACCATGGAGCCTTTTCCTGTCCTACTTATTTCAGCAGTCTGTCCTCTGTCCTCTTTCCTCCTCTGTTAATTTACTCCTGAGATCTCATAATTTATGTCAGAAACAATCTTCTCCCAACCACTGCTGTTTTTCATTCTCACACTACATTCAGATGAGACTTTCTCAGAAAGACACGCCTGCTACTGTTTTTCACCTGTGGTCCTTGCTTTGCCTTTTTAAAATCAAATCATGTAGGTACCTGGTAATACTGCAGATCATATCATACTATAGCATATCATATATATCATTTGTTACATTCATCACTTATTAGAATCTAATATATATGTGGACAAGGAATTGACGGTCCAATTTCTTTAGCATTGTCTAAAATGGTTTCTAGAAAATAAAAGCTAGAAATATTTCTTGACTGAATGTAATTATACCAATTTAGTCATATATAGAAGTTATATTGTTTTCATTGAATATTACTGTTTAATATTAAAATAATTAGCATAGAGTTGTTATTGGTAAAAGAAATAATTTTCAAAATTTGTCTAGAAATTTGATGAAATTTGGATTTTAGCTTATTTGTGCTCATTAACAACATAATTTGAATGGGGTTGATGACATTATGGTATTTGGAAAAAACAAGTCCTTTGAAGATCACAGTAGAAAATCTCATATGCATACATTGTCATGAAGTATGAGTAATATAAACTTATTGTACATTAGGATTCTGTTTCATACTGTATAGCACAATATGGGAATAAATACCTTGCACAATGCACAAAGCTACTAAGAGGCTCCAGTGTTGATTAGAAATTCGTGTATATAGTTTGCAGCATTATTAGATAGCAAATATAAGTAAAGCAGAGATAATAGATAAATGGAGGAAAGGAATATGTCTTTTTATACATTTAAATATATCTATCTATTTAACTAGCTAGATATCAAAGTTATTATTTCTTAGAAAAGGAAACACTGGCATTTCAGTCATAAGGGAGTATTTTTGGAATTCCTAGTTAATTTCATGTCTTTTTTACCTAGAGAGCTCTGTGGAGAGCTGACTGCCATCTGAAATGGCAGTGGAGGGGCAGGAATGGAAGCACATTTCTTGGCCTTTGAGGAAGCAGAGGTTCATGCTTTTGCTATAGGTCAAATGACTGTAGAAACTTTGCACACACAGTACAAGCTAAGAGAAAGCTTAAATAAGCCATCTAAGGATGGTGTCACACTCATCATGCAACAACAAAGATCTCAAGTCCTTCAGATGTGTCTGGAGAATTTACATGTTTAAGATGGGTCTCGACATACCCCATTCCTGCATATATTCTAAGAAAGAGGTCAGGCATTGGGTGGCTGTCATCACAGAGGACTCTGACCGTGAGGGTATGATGGCTCCAGGATGTTTATAATACCACTGTTTTTCATTCTTCTGGTGCCCTCCTGAGGACCAGAAGTAGCCAAGCGAGTAAGAGAGGACAGGTCATAGATCTTCATTTGACTTAGTATTTGAAAATGACTAGAAGCTGTGGAAACTGTCTGACAGTTGACCAAAGTGGACATTAGAAAAAGCAATGCAATATCTCCAGTGTTGAATGGAAGCAAAATTTTCATGCTGTTCCCTTTCAGTTAAAAACTAATAAAATTTCAATGCAGAAACATCTCAAATTAGTTTGTGTTACATATAATTCTAATAATGTAAATTTTTATTTTAATATAATCTAAACCTAAAGAAACAAAAGTAAATAACATGTAGTATTGTTAGAACATCTGTGAGATTATAGAAGTACTTTATATATCTTTATTGAAAAGCTGTATTTATTCATTTTTATATTTAAAACATGATATACAACATTGATTTGTAAGTGATTTACCTTGGCTATAAATAAAACTGGACATGATGATTGGAGTATTTTCATGATGATATAGAGATTAAAATCAATAGAACTTTTTACCTATAAAAGGAAGTAGAGATGATGCACATTCTCCATATATAATAATATTAAGCATTTCCACAATCTTACCTCATTTGTATGCTAGTGAAAAGTGGCCTATGAATTTCAAATTTTAATTATGTTTTCAATTTGCTAATAATTTTGATGTGCATACTTGGGTAAGTTGTTTAAAATCTTTTCTCGTGATACTTTATCTGTATAAAGGACCTATTATTAATGTATCAGCCATAAAATTGTTATAGAAATATTGAAATTTCAATATATAAATAACATATAATTGTGCCAAATACAAAGCAAACATTTGACACCTTTAATTACTAAAATAATGGTAATCATCACATTACTAACTTTACCATTAGAAAGCCTTATAGGGCCGGGGATTTAGCTCAGTGGTTTCGCTGCTTGCTGCACAAGCTCAAGGACCAGAGTTCGATCCCTGGTACCAAAACAAACAAAAAAACCCTGGCCTTTGGGCCAGGGATTTAGCTCAGTGGTTTTGCCGCCTGCCTCGCAAGTGCAAGGACCCGAGTTTGATCCCCGGTACCAAAAAAAAAAAAAAAGAAAAGAAAAGAAAAAGAAGGCTTATAGACCTACTTCTTAGCTCAAGTACTAGACTTAAAATGAGTAAGAAAAAAAGAAGAAAACAGATGAATTTGAGGCAATAATTAACTAAATGTTACCTATCGCTTTCTTACTTTGACCCTCCAAGGGTAATTTTCTGTTATTACCCAAAGAATAAATTAGTTGTTCAAGTTATATATGGAACATTCTGATTGAAAGACATTCCTCTACGGAATTTATTTGGGGAAAAACGCTATAAGTAGCAACCAACTTTTCATGGCGACTTTTTGTATGTATACACAAAACCTGACAGAGTACAGTTGGTTTTGCTAACTTTGCAACAAAAGGGAACAAAAAATATTACTAGATCATTTTAGAATTACATGAAAAAAGAGAAAAAAGAAACCTAATAATCCACTTCCTAAAAATCCATTTTTAAAATTTATTTATTTATTTTTTGGTACCCGGGATCGAACTCCAGACCTTGCACTTGCGAGGCAGGTGGCGGAACCACTGAGCTAAATCGCGGCCCTAAACCTAATAATCCAACAGAAAGTTTGCCAATCATTAATATCTAATGACCATAATTTTAATTTATACTAATATATAGAAGTTAAATTACAAAGATTATTCTTGTCATCTCTGACAATAAAAATTGAAAAACTGTGTATTTAATTTTCAAGTACTTTGTCTTCCTTTAAAAAATAATTTACGAGACATTGCCATATGGTCTATAATGAGTAAGTTTTTGTCATCTTACTATCTTGTATATGAGCCAATCTTAGGGCTCAGGCAAGTTCTAGGCATATGTCCAGCTCAAACTGACACCTCAGTTTGAAAAAAGTTCTTTCTTATCCCAGATGACCTCCATGTTATTTTGAAATCTTCCTCTGTAAAGCTAATTATCTATTTTTAACTCTCTTTAAAATTTACACGAATTGTTGCTTGAAATGTTCAACTTATATGTAAAAGATTTTACCCAGGGATTTGAAAATGTTTTAAGTTTTATTAGTCATAGCAACAAACTTAGAAGCTGGTGTGTTTATAATATATTTATCCATAATAACTCAGAATTAACACATACCTTTAAAATAATAGTGTGCAATAATAGCACATTTTCCACAGCAAAATCTCTCACTATTTGTAC